ACTCAGCAATTTCCTTTGATCACTGCAGTACTGCTTGAAATACTAACCCAGTCTTTCCTGACACTTTCAGTGGCAGTCCTTTTCCACTGTTCTGGGTGGCACCCAGATCAGGTTCCAGGTTCTGGGAGGCTTGACTAACCTGCGGGTACCCTTTCTTTCTCCATCTCCCTGCTGCAGAGTGCGCAGGAGCACGAGCTGCCAAGTCTGATAAGGCACGCAGTGGCACCCCGGCTTCACTTGTCCATCCTTCTGAGACATCCTTGCCCTCTGAGACATTTCTTAATTCCTGAACTCTTGTCAGGGCTGAATTGTTGGTGTCACAACTGAGAGCTGGATTTGTGTGCAAGTGCCTCACAGACATGTTAACCATACCAAATGCCATCCAACTCACCCCTTTGCCCGCTGCAGTGGGTAGTTGTTTTTTCCATGCAAACATCTAACCTAGGAAGGTTAGCTGATTGCACAGCGCAGCACAGAGTTTCACTAGGGTGGTGAGAGTGGATGGAATTAATCACAAGAAGAAGCAGATCCACCGTACCTTCATCCAGTTCCTGACAGCAAAGGCACAGTTCAGCTTTCCCTTTTCTCACCCAGGCTAGCAGCTGGGTTGGAGCTGCTACAGAAAAGGGAGTAGATGCTAGTGATGGGTACAGGGTCAGGCCTGATTTGTGATAAAGTTTCTTGCACTGGGAAGACCTCGTACACAGAGACAGGCCAGCTGCTTGCAGGAGAGGAGAAAAGCAGGCATTTGAACACAGAGGAAGACACTTTCATGAGTTGGAGCATGCCTTAAAAGAGAGGGGTGAAGTAGGAACCTTCAAGATGCTGCCGCATGCAACATGTTTGACTTATACAGGTACCACACAGACACTCTGACAGACAATAGCAATTGGTCAACTTGGCTATTGCTTTGCAATAGCTACTTATGCTCAGCCAGTAATGATGTTTATTTAAGATTCTTATTAATTATGACATGATTTTTGAAACAAGTTTTAAAATCATACTTGGAATATTGTTTCTGACACAGAGACTGTGTCAGAAAAGTTAACCCGCATCCAGATTCAGTGGGAAGCCATTGCATTCTTGATCCAAGAAACAAAACTAGGAATTTGGACAAAACCAGGCTTTGATGGCTGGGTACAGTCCAGTCCCCAAGAGGTGACTCCATATTGGACAAATCTGTCCTTATCTTGGCAGACCAGAGGTCCTCCGACTTCAGCCTAGGAAGGAAAAGAGAGTATAAAGTGACTGCTCTAGTGATGGAGACACTAGGCATGCAAACAGTAAAATACTGGCAGGATTAATATTGTAACTCTGAAGGCCTCAAAAATGTGACTAACCCAAGGACTCGAGAGAGAGGGAGCGTGTTTTATTAGACCTGCTGGAGTAAAAGAATTGCAGGACTGGGGGAGTGGAAAGTTGTTTCCAAGCAGCCAGGCCATTTTCCTGATATGAAGATCTACCAGTCATGGATGTGGGTTAATCCCCAGATTACTGTGAGACCTATTACAAACACACAAATTGTCCATATCCTCTGATCTACTGGGCAAAATTAGTTTAATTGTTTTAATGCCGTTCCTTAAAATCCAAGCATGGCAGGATATGAGTACATATGTCCAATGATTTTTGGCCCTATAAATGAATGCACTGCCCACATTCTCAAAGATATAATTTACCCTGGCAATCTGGAACATCTGCTCAGACAGACCTGTGTTTGCTTCCTGACTCTGTCACTAGTTACCATCTTTTTATTGAAAAGCTCCCAATATGATAGCCTCCATTAAGAAAACTACATTTTAAAAGTCTTTTCATATACTTGTGAAAATTAGAAAGCTGGAATCACTGAAAGCTTTATTTAATCAAGGGACTAAATAAAGATGCGGTACAACTCCAGCCTGTGCCAGAAACAATCACTAGTTTCACCTCTATCTCTAAGAACAAAGGAAAGCCCAAGCAGTATATTACAGCCTTTACTTCAGGTGAGAGGGTTATTCACAACACTAGGCTACTATGAGTAGGATATTATCCTACACAATTTCTCTGCAATACTAGCTGACTGTGTGAGTGAAGAAAAAAACGCTGTGTATACCTCAGTTCTTAGGCTTCATGCAAAAATGTTGAGTTGCTGAAGCTATTTCTGAGCCTTGAAAATACATATTATATGCATTGACCTGCTTAAACTCAAAGCTAGATTATTCTTACCTCACAGTTATCTATGCCTCCAAATGTAAATCCACCACAAAATTCATTATTTTTGACACTTCCATTCATAAATTCAGGGCGATTACATATTTCATTTTCAAGCACAGGGAATTCAACATCTTTTAATCTGTTATCTGCATTGGTACCTTTATGAACAAGTAAGAAAATATAACAATTATAAATCGTAGCCTGGGTGTTGTGATCTAGTGAAGCTGTAAAGTCTCAGTAATGAAAGAACTGGGATTTGTCCCCAGCTCTACTGTAGTCTCTGAGGTCCTTGAAGGACCTTATTAAATCTTCCAACTTTTTTTGAGCTTGGATCATACCTAGCATCAACAAGCAGAGGGTATTTTACTCTACAAAATGTTACTAAATAAATAAAAACATATGCTACGTAATCTGAGCCATTGTATTGCTTTCTAGTTTTTCACCATGGTGCAGTACCAATTGCTTATTTCAGTGTTAGCCTGTAATTACTTTACATTAATTCGAACTCTTTCAAGCCTAAAGTGTTTTCCAGGCAAGGAGAATTTTCCTGAAGCCAAAGCTGAATTTTCCCAAAATTTAGATGTGGGATTCTGACTGCTCTCCCTCTCCTGCTGCTTTGGTGACCAAGCTGCAAGACATGGTGGGACCCTCTTTCACACTGCTTAAATGCAACAGTGGTCTGTTGATTTTTCCATCCTAATGCATTTCCAGAAGAAATCTGGTTTGTAGCATTTTTTTGTGGCTGTGATCACTAGAAGATATGAAGCAGCTGCCACCGTGTGGCAAGCTGAATGAAAAACTAAAAACTTTCAAGGTAAGAAAGGGGAAAAAGGTGAGAGGAAAGCCAGTAATTACTGTATATGCTAGAGAAAAGTGTTTCTTAATAATTCTGATGAGTTAGATGACTTACAGTAGAATTAGAGTGATTATTCTTAAGCATTATTTCCATAGCATCAGTTTTGTAGCTAAATAACGCACGGAGGGTAAAAAAGCTCTACAATCTATGCCTAAACTTTTCATGGTGAAAGTCAGAGACTGGGTCATGTTTCGTTCCTTTTATTTTTTTTTTTTTTAATTTTATGGATGCACACACGAAGAAGAATTCATTGACTTTGATTTACAGGTGGATTATTAAAAAGTGGTGTCTGGCAAATGGGGTGGGAAGGGCACCCCTTGCATATAGCTCAGCAAGGCCAAAAATGTGTCTGTGGGAGCTGGGGCTGAATGAGGACAGATGCCAGCATCACTGCTGGAAGCTGCAGGGATGAGGAACTGCCTCCTGCTTCAGTAAAAGCAGATCAAAGAGAGCTGGGTATACTCAACCATCAGCATAGGTGGAATAAGAGCTGGGCACCAGGAGACCACATGCTTGATTTTTAATGCTAGGCTATGAACAAAATTTAGGTAAGGGTTTTACTGACATTAAAAACCTTTAGCTTGAGCTCATTTTGCCTGTGCCCCAAAGATGGCTGGATCTGAGCAAGCTCTGACTTAAAGGCTTCACAGTTCCTGGGATGGCACCTTATCTATGATACAAGGTCTTAAGGCTAGTGCTTGGACTTGGGATTAGTCTTCAGACTTGCCCATGTATCATAGAATCTTAGAATAGTTTATGTTGGAAAAGACCTCTTAGATCATTGAGTCCAACTGTTAACCCAGTATTGCCAAGTCCAGTAGTAAAATTCTATCGGTCTGAAGTGAATGCAGATCCCTGTAGAAGTCTATGCAGACAGTAATGTTTAGACTACATTTAGAAGGTAAGTGCAAGCTTAATTCAGATGTTTAAAAAAATGTATATCTGAAGATCAAAATTAAAGGCAAGGGCATTATTTGAGTGTAGTCCTTATTTGTGCAAATACAGTGTATATGGAAGCAGAAGAAAGACTAAAACAGATAGAGATAAAAGGTGGCAAAGTCTTATGTCTAATTATTCTTTCTCTTTTCTCTTGTTTAGTGAATTCACTTTATGTAAGCAATGAGAAGGGGAAAAGGCAAGCTCTGAGAGAAAGAAATAAAAAGAAAAATGTTGCCTGGTAACTTCTGATTTAGTTAAGTCTTAACTAAAATGTGTTTTTCAGCTCCCATAATTGCACATATTTTGAAATAGTATTTGAAAACTTTCCTAAGTTTCCAATTGCTCCGAATATGTTTTATCTCTTTTTTTCCCCAGGCAGCTAGAAAACACACAGACTGCCGAGACCGTGCCCGCAGCCGTGCCGAGTCCCTGCCATGCCGTGGCGCAGAGGCGCGGGACCCACGGGCGAACACCTCCCGCTCAGCCCTGGCCCGGACAAAAGCCGTAGAGCCGCGGCAAAAGAAGCGGCTCCGGCTGTGTGGGAGCCGGGGGCCGCTCCGAAATATAAGCGGCAGCGGTGCCGCAGCCGCGGAGCCCCGGCCGGGGTGTGGATGAGCGGTGAGCGTCTTGCCTCGCTACGAAACCCCCCTGCACTGCGGAGCGGCGGGGAGCAGTTCCGCCGGAGTCGGGACGGGACCGGAGACACCAGAAACCAGGGTAAAAACTACCTCCCCTTCCATAACAAAGTGTTAAAACCATGCCAAGCCCAGACAGCGCGAACTGCAACAAACGGCAGAGCCCTGCACGGTCTGCCGTGAGCAGAGAGGGAGACAGCAGCCCCCAAACGGCGCTGACAAGAGACCCCCTGTGGGGGGGCAATTCTGTCGTCTACGGTGGAAAACAAGTAACAAAAACCGGGGCCACAACCCTTTGTGCAGAGACAGAGCGAAGCTGAGCTGCAAATAGCTCAGGGGAGTCTCTGCACAACTCAATGCTACAGCGCTTTGCTGTGAGCCTCCCGAGAAGCATACAAAATTAATTTAACTTTGTATCTTGCTGTCTCAGGACCTCTGGCAAGAACATTGAAACTTTAAGGTTTTTTCTTACTCTTTCATCAGTTTCCCCCAAGACTTTGGTTAAATTGTTGAGCTTGTTAAGTTGTTAAACCCTCAAGGACACCTGAATAGAAGCAGTTGTTGTGACAATTTAGTTCAAACAACGTGTTTTAAAAGTTCCTAAGCATCTCCAACCTTGTTAATTAATCGTTTAAGAAATTGTTAAAGTTGTTAAATTCTTAAATACATTTATATCTATTAATAGAAGCTCTGTTAGTAGAAAGCCCTTCGCAGGACTATCAGTCTCTCGAAGCTGGGGACGGTGGATTTTCTTGTTCTTTGCCCCTGTCTGAGGTGGGGGAGGAGTGAAGCTTTCAGGAGCCAAAATGATGCTTCTTGCGTAATAGCGATCATCTGTTGCTTGACAACTGGGTGGAGAGAGATTCTGTCGTCTCCAGTTCTTGTCCCAGTCCCTGTCCTAGACGAGGGAAAACAAAGCATAACAAACTGAAATCTCCCCCATCACCCAGTTTAACTCTTATTAACTGTTTAACTTACATCACTATGGGGAAAGAAAAATTTTCTTTGTTGTCTAAAATCCTTAAAATTGCCTTTTGAGTTTATCTCCAGAAAACCAGGCCATTAGACGCCTGCCAGAGCAAACAAGACAAACTGCTTTCAGTGAGAATGAAGAAGACTTTTCTGATTCCTGTGATATCTACGAATGATGGGAACCACTGAATGCTTGCTTTTGTGTTTGCAAGTGCAAAATCTTCTAGTGCCAACGTAGTAAAGGGTTTGATTTTGTTATTAAGATAATGTTCAAAATGTTTATACTCTGTTTTCTAATTGTTTCAGCAAGCGAAAATATTCCTTGATAATTTATATAAAGACTTATCTAAGATTTCATATGAACATTGAGAATGATAAACAAGTATTTCATCCCTTCTGCCCTTACAGCATTAAAACATGCAACACATGAAGTTACACACAGCCTTCAACCTTGAGGTAAACAGACAATAAAAGCACAAAATGACTTTTTGCCTTTATTTCAAGCTCCAGCAAAAGGCAACTTTGAAGCAAAAAGACATTGAAAGGCATCAACTGACTTCTACTGCTTTACTTCAAAAGGCCATTCCTAAATACAGCTACAGAGAAACTGCGTTTGCCTAACCTCTACATCTGTTTCTTCCACACTAGCCACCTGAGACTGTTTAAATTGTTATTAACATGTTTGTTAAGTTTGTTACTAAAGGCAAAAAGCGGCTAACAGAAATGGATGGACAAAAGCTGAAAATTAACCGCATTCTAGAAACCACAGACAACTTAAACTGATTGCTTGCAAAGGATGCTGAATTTCAAGCTGTGTTAACATGTTGTAATGATAACTCGTTTTATATACTCAGTTATTGTGATGGTAACTTGGTCTAGTTGTTTACAGGAGATGCTAAGTTTTAAGTTATGTTAACATATTGTGATGGTAACTTGTGTATATATCTTTGAGTTTATTAACTTATGGTTTTCTAAAACAAAAACAAAAGGGGGGGGGAAGAGAAAATGCATGTGCATAAACAGGTAAGACATTTAGTTTTGTCAAACCTTATATTCTTCATATTAATTCCTTTTCAAATTTTCAAAACAAGTACAGTTGCCAAACATGATTACCAGAAGTGACAGATTGCAAAGCATACAACCAATAACGACTGCAAAACCCTAAACTATGTGATTTAAATAGACACATAATAAAAATTCTAAGTATGCATGTGTAAGGAGAGAATGTAAAGTGGCCACTTCTGTATGAATGAAAAAACTGTATGAATGAGAGAAACTGTGTAAACATGTATGTATGTAGACTTAGAGATACTTTGTTCTTCATGTGCTTTGAACAAATTACACTTCCATCACAACACTTGTTCTCTAAGGGCCCTTTTCTTGAAATGGAGTTGAATTTCTCCTAGTTACCAATTACATGCAGGCCCTTGGGGAGGTGGGAATCGATGTTCTGCCCGATTATGCAAAAACTCTCAGGTTAATAAAGTTGTTGTTTATCCCAAATACACACAAACCCTTAGGAAGTAAAAGTTCAAATTTATGTCAAGCAACTTTCAAGGATTACAGATAAAGGTTCAGACCAAGGTAGGCAGTGGACTGAATCACTGACACAGTGGTCATTGTTAAAGGGGGTTTACAAAGTTTAAAATGTACTGTTATATGCAATGTTCTATATTTCCTCATAATAATAAAGAAGAGGGGAGATGTAGGAGTTTGGTTTCAGGAAGGGTGCTGAACAGCACCCTGGGAGATGTATTATATTAATATATCACAGTTGTCTATTTTCCTCTTATTCCCCTGGATGAAAAATTTGTCCTTCAGAATGCACTAAAATGACATAGGCTACAGGACATGAACTGACTAAAGAGCACTTGCTGCAAAATGCAGCTGTACAGATCTGAAAGCTGCTGAAGGGGTGTAACTGTTACATTGCAGCCCTAGTCAGTGTCCTGGTTTTGGCTTGCATAGAGTTAATTTTCTTCTTAGTAGCTGGTACAGTGCTGTGTTTTAGCTTTAGTATGAAAATAATGTTGATAACACACTTATATTTTGGTTGTTGCTAAGTAGTGCTTACCGGAAGTCAAGGACTTTTCAGTTTCCCATTTTCTGCCAGTGAGAAGGTATACAAGAAGCTGGCAGGGAGCATGGACAGGACAGCTGACCCAAACTAGCCCCAGGGATATTGCATACCACAGAACAACATGCTTAGTACATAAACTAGTGGGAGCCACTACTTGCTGCTCAGGGACAGGATGGGCATTGGTCAGCAATTGTATGGTGCATCGCTTGGGTTTCTTGGGTTTTATTCCTCTCCAATATTTATTATTATTGTTATTGTTATTTTGTTTCAATTATTAAACTGTTCTTATCTCAACCTTTGAGTTTTATCTTTTTTTATTTTTCTCCCCACCAAGGAAGGAATAGGGGAATGAATGAGCAGCTGTATGGTACTTAGTTTCTAGCTGTGGTTAAACCACAACACTCAAGAATTATTTTGATAGATTACTACTTCCTTTTCCCACAGACTCTACAGGAGGTGCCACTTATAGCCAGCTGTTACCAGATGTGGTGCGTGTCGTCGGGCTAATATCTTGCGCCATCGTTGCGGGGGAATCATTTGGTATGGGCTCTTGTGTACGATCATCACACTTCTTGAGATTGCAGTACTCCCATAAGGTGTTGGGGTCAGTGGTGAAACACCATGGGCTGTTGTCACCATCTGGATTTCTACAATAGTTGTCCCTCAAATCCCTGCAAAAATATAGTCAATGGTCATGCTGTGTAAGACTGGAAGTAAGCATAGAAATATCCTGATAAAAAGTTGTGGAACTGTACTATAAGGATAAAAACATTTATTATTGTTTTCACTTATTGCAGATATCCTATTAATAGCAAACACATTTATGGCTGTGATGCTGGTGAAGAGTTATATTTCACATGTACATCAGAGTCATGAATACATTTATGCATAAGGAAACATAATTCAATTACTGGCTGATATTCTGGATGTACCATGTCAATATGCTGAGTACCTAAATAAATGCCTGATATGCCAATAATTTAGTTTCTAAATATATATGTATAAGCACACGCAGTTATGTGAATGTGTGAATTAGTAATAAATATGCAGAAAGATTCATACTGCTGGTGGGCCCTTATAGTTTTCCAAATTTTTGTTTTTTTAATGCCAAAGGGTTCTTTTTAACATTCAGAAGAAGGACAAATAAATGCTTATACAGTTGATCGCCTCTCACGCTGCCAAACACTGTTTCTACTGAATTCAGTGGAACCACTCCCAAGTCTGTGCTTCATGGGGCAGGGAGAAGTAGAATCTCTCTCTTCAATAATTTGCAGAGTTTCAGTATTTCCCCATCCTGAATCTCAGCACAGTTACGGAATAAAAAAGAACTGAAATGGTTTTTTTCCAAATATGACAGAACACATGAATTCCACATTTTCGCAATTTGATTTTAATTTTTTAAAATGTTTTTGAAAGTCATCATCCCCCCGAGGATGTTCCAGTTTCAATACATTAGTATTTTGATGCCTAAATATAACTGAAAAATTCTAATTATTTTGGGTGATAGCATAAAAAACGTAAAAAAAATGGACGTATTTTCTCGCAATTGAAATCTTGTTGCTTTCCTACCCTTACTAAAAACTGGCACATTAGTGATTATGGTTAGCTCATCACTGATCCAGTCACTGCTCGTATAGTTTTGTCAGCCTGAGGAAGACAAATAAAGGGGAGAAATTCAGTGTGCAATTCCGGGTGCACAATTCCAACTGCAAAGAACACTTTGATGGTATTTCAAAGCATAATGTATCTGCAAGTGTGTTTTGCATCATAAATGCTGTGTTCTACCAAGATTAAAAAATTAGAAAGGCCACCACAAAAATCTTAAATTCATAAACAAAACACATATTTCAGCAGATGCCCAAACTCTGGATACAAGTCTCCTGCTGTTGGTTACAGAAGCTCAGATTTAAGAGTAAAGGGATACAGCTATATTTTGCTCAGAATTTAGATGACTAGTTTTTAAAAATGAGACCTACAGAAAATGTTTCGAAATGTCTTGGAAAAAAATCTCTTTCACAGATACATTCCCTAGCAATGTTTTAAAGCATAGATGTACAAAGATAATGCAAACCAAGCAGCAGTCATTGTCAGAGAAAGAGAGAAAAGGTAAGATAAACATACGCATCTGGGAATTTGTCCGGGGTTTTTTCATGCCAGTGTGGGAACATGGAGTTCCAGGCCTGGCATTTTTTTCCCGATGCAGTGATAGAAGTTGTGCCACGATAACTCTGGCCTTTGCCTCGGTAGCACTCCTCTGTCAGGGGAACCTGTATAGGCACATCTGCAGCAAACAACAGAAACTGGTCTTTTGCATCATAGTTTTATGTTCTTACTGAGTAAGCACAAGAAAGCATCAAACACACAGGATGACAAAAAGGAATGACTCATTTATACAGACAGCATTCAGTGAGACTATGACAGCCAGCAGCAGAAGGGCATTTCCAAAGTTATTTAGAAAACTGTCATAGCTTAACATCATGTGTTAAATGTTTTTCAGTGAAGGCTTCACCATTTGGTTTCATTTTGGTATATGTGAACATGCTAGAATTAAAGATAAGAAAGTTCACATGAGAAATCCTCACAGATGAAATACTGGTGATTTTGACCACGATAAATTTCTCAAACAGACATTATATTAAGCTTCAATCTCTCCATTATCCTTTTTATTGCACTAAGACTTTCTTGTTACTTTTTGTCCTTAAATGAATGAATGTTTCAATGTGATTTTGATTTGGAAATAAGACTTTGGAAGCTCCTGTCCTCTCTTTTGTGGCTACTTTCCAAAAATGGGAGTTCCTTTTATTTAGCAGTTTTTCATGTCTTTGAACCTGATTTTAATTTTTCAGTGAACTTGCTATAGTTGCCCTACATTTGGGAAAAAAAGGAATATAAAAAATTAATCCTCTTTTATCCAGTAATTCTTCTGTTGGGTCACCTGGTGATTTACATCCTTCACTGTGTTTTCTTAACCAGTATTTGGCAGGTTTTACAACATGCCGGGCAGACAAGCATTAACAACAGTGACAAAGTGACTGAAAAAATATTTAATACATTTACAGTGAGAAACAATAAACCTCTCACTGTTTTAAAGTCCTTATTTCAAGTATGCGCCACTATTCATACCAGTACTCTCTTGTTCTCTCCCATCACAGGGAGGAATTGTGCAATATTCCCATCTAATGCTGCTGTTGATGGTGTAGCACCAAGGTCTCTTCTCTCCATCAGGGTTTCTACAGTAGTTTTCCTCTAAGCCCCTGAAACAAAAACACTGGCTTTAAACTACTCATAGAAATCCAGAAGAGTTTTGTGCATGACTATTAACAACTACTGCATGCAGAAGTCAACTTAGTGGTTATATTTATTCTTTTTGGAGATTAATTACCTCATGCATCACTGTTTTGGGACTAATTAATGGTCTTCAAATTTACGGTCTAAATGCTGAAGATATATGAAGAACTGTTTCAATGCTTTCGCATTCTGCTCCTGTTGAGGCCAAGGTACAGCAGTAAAAGCTGACTTCGGAACACAAGCCATTGGTGTACCTGACATTACAGTAATAACCAGGCAAGGCTGGATGTGACAGACTGATCCTGGAAGTGTGTAGGAGCACCAGTGCATGCTGCTCTCTGCCCTATGATAGTGGACAGGGTTTCACATGATCAAGAAAACTTGCAGGATCAAAATACAGAGTAATAAGCCAGGTCAGTCCCAGCTACCCTTACACATCGATAATTCTCTGAAAACCCAGCTCCTCTGACCTTGGAGCAAAAGGATGTATTGGAGCATGTTGACCTTGGAGTGTCACTCTTCAGAAGAGTAATGCATTGAAAATGTGCTGAAACACAGCCAAGGGATTTTCAGTAGTAACTACTTATAACTTTGCAGTGGGATGTGGGTCAGACAGGTGAGATAAATATATGAGAATAAAGAGGGATGCAGAAAAAGATGGAGAGCAAGACTTGAACAGAAGTAATGAGCACTGACAAACAGCAAGAAAATAGCTTATCAGCAGAAATGAGGAGCACCTGGGCTCCTCTTGTCTCTGCATCTGATTCAATAAGGAATAACTATATTCTTTGGTATTTGTTACAGTGATCAGGTTCGGCATACTTGCAGGGATATCTGTCAGGAATCCAGCCATGTTTGTGAGGTAACTGTGTGTTCCAGCGTTGACACACATTTCCTGATTCAGTGATGGCTATCCTTCCTCGATAGTCTTCTCCTTTCCCTGAAAGACACTGGGAGCCTGGGCCAGAGACTGGTGGGTGTGTAGCTGTAACAGGAAAACACAAATGAAGGGGAGGGAAGGCAAGGAAAACAGTACTTTCAAAAATATATAAAACATGTTTATTTTCTGTAATGTCAAAAGTGCAATTTTTTTTTTCTTTCAGCAGAGGTGACCTGGGTTAAAAGCCATGTCAAAACCAAAAAGTACATTTTTACGAGCAGTTGGACAGCCAGACAGATGTCCTGTGTCTGCCCTTTTACAGCAGTCAATAAATAACTTTGCTGGGTCAAGACAGACTTTGTGCCTGCAGTCCCCTGAGAGCAGAACAGGAAAGGCAGTAAGTAGTCCTGTACAGTCTTGTAAAACCAAGTGAAATGAATATTATACGCACAAGTAGGGTGGAAGGGCAGAAAGGGACAAGAAGAAATTTTGAGAGAAAGCAAAGCAGCCTTCAGAGCTGAGCCTCTGGAGTCAGTGACTTGGGAAAGTGTGGCAGAAGGAAGAGTGAAAGAAAGAAAGTGAGGTGGTCTGGCACGTGGGGAACAGCAAAGAAAGTAAGAGTGATGATCAGAGGCCTAGAACCTGCAGAGGGCAAATGGAAAATGAATTTACAGCACATACCTATTATATATACTTTGTATACAGAATTTCCCAAGGAGATAAGTATGACTCTAAAAGGTTGGCATGTTCCTTAAACTTCAAGTTCTAAGCACAGAGTGGAAATGCTATGGTAACTTTCACAATTTATCATGCAGAAGTCTATAAATAGTTATTCTGCCATCTGTAATGGACCATGCTGAAGAGAACTACATCCAGCAAACACGTGCCACTGCTTAGAGCACTGGCAAGTGCAGATGCATAAGAAAGCAAGCTCTAGAGATAAAAACACACTTTTTTTTTTTTTCTAAAAGTGCCATCCAGTTCTACAAATAGCAATGGTACTCTCCTTATTCAGTGCTTTGGAAATATCCAGATTTAGCGTGCTCAGCTCAATGGGTTACGCTCACCCACTGATAAGTCAGGTGTTTCCTCGAGGCCTGAGCTTGTTTCTCAGGATTCACTCCTTGCTAAGAAAAAGGCAGTGTTGGCTGTGCTGGCCAGATTCGGGTAAAATATCACAGTATGGCCACATGGTGATTTAGATGTTTTTCATTAGTTAACTGATCAGCAGAAAACTACCACCTGATTTAACCTGAATGCCCAGTCTCTCAGGTAAATTTAAATTCTCAGGTAAGTTGAAAAGTAAAGTGGTTAAAGGCAAATTCTGTTTTCCCAAAACATCTTTGGCATTATTGTACTTCATGACACCTACATCCTCACTAACCTTACATGATTTTACATAACTGAAATTTAGTGAGCGATTCTGTATATTCCTGTGCGCTTTCCTTCCTTCACAAAGGTATCCTCAGGTTACTCAGAACTGAGATTTCTTGTCTTTCCCCTCCCTGCATAATTGTAATGAGAAGAGCTACCCTCTGGAGTGATCTCAGGAAATCAGACTCACTGCAACGAGGAATTTTGCAATATTCCCAGCGTTTAGTCGGGCTGGTAGTGAAACACCAGGGCCGAAGTTCACCATCAGGATTACGGCAATAATTCATCTTCAGATCCTTCTCTGGATAGCTGCACATCGAAAATGAAAGAGAAGCTTGTGAATCAGTTATGGGCAGCTGAAGCAATTAGGCTCTGTCTCCCAGGCTCTGTAGGAATGAATTCAGTGCCGAATGTGACTCACTGTTTCAGGGTAAATCCATGCATATGAGGCTCTTGGGCATCCCAGTGTTGGCACTGAAGCCCAGACTCTGTTCTCGACACTTCTCCATGGTAGTCCTCACCATTACACTGCATGCATTCTGCTGTAGGTCCTAGGCAGAATGGAAAAAAAACAAGGAATGCACAAGCCCATGAATTCAGATCCTGATCTATTCCTGGAAGAATATGTTGAAAGAAAAAGAGGGATTTGCTCGAGCTAGTGATGAAAATAATTCAGAAGCCTAGCCAAATTCAAAATGCTTTAGGAATATATGTCATTTGGAGGGAGAAATTTGTCACGTATCTGTATGTACTGATAGCAATGGGAGTTCAGTATGTAACACAGCACTTGGATCAATCTTTACTCTCTTTAAAATGAAATAAATTGCTGGGATAAGAGCAGGACAATATCAGCAAATGATTAAAAAATTTCAGTTCTTCCATATTTATGAAATTACTTTGATAACTCAAGATAATTAGGAAAAAACATCTGTGTTGAGAAATTCTTAAGTTCAGTTTGATTTAAATTCTCATTTGAAAACAATCTGCAATAATTAAGCGCAAACAAGTAGCAGGAATAATATTACCTACTTAAACTCACTACTTAAATTCATTCTGTGAAAAGTAAATATACCCTCTTCAGTGTGTGTGATCTGGTCCTCACACTCTGGGATATTACAGTAATCATATCTGGTAGTAGGATCTGTTGTGTAACACCAGGGTCCATTTTCATCCCCATCAGGATTTCTGCAGTAGTTTTCCTCCAGGCCTGCATTAGGGTGTTTTTGAGGTGTATAGCTGTAATTAAAATTCTATTTTAATACCAGTAATTTGGTGGAGCAGAAGGGAAATGTCCAATTTGCTGAGGTAGCTGTGAGCTTTATTCATTCACAGTAAAAATGAGCAAAACAGATTCCCCACTGTAAGCCATAAATGAAAACTGAAAAAACATTCCGTAGCTATCATTATTAGTAGCTTTCTCCCTAAGTCCCAATTGCCAATAAGGAGTGATCTTACAGCCTGCAAGGACTATACCAGTCTCAAAGGACAATTGTTGCCTTTAATACTTACATCCGTCTGATCTAATCTGCTCACTATGACCTGTGGCTCTGTCACGCATTTGTATTAATGGAACTACTTCAGAAGTTGTGTATTTCTAGAGGCTATTCACCAAACACCAGATCATGCAGAGACCTGAAGCAGGTGACACTAGGCTTCTTCCTACAGTAACCTTACCAGAGAAGACTAAATGGCTTTTAAACAATCTGAACAAGTGTATCCAAGTTTCATTAGGATAAAACTCCAATGCAGATCAGAGGAAACGGAATCTCTGCTTCCCTTCTTGCTTCAGTGAGCCCAGTGGCAGCCAGCCCTGAGAAAACTCTACCTGGTCAGGTACGTTTGGCCCTTGGATACTTTTCTTAATGTTTTTTCTTGACTGTCTGTATGGCAGGCAGGGAGTCATAGAGCTGGACCCGTATCAGTGCTTTTTTTTCCGCACTTCATACCGAACAGTGCAATTATGATCCCACTGTCACCAATAGCAAAATTTTCATCATGTGTTGATAGGAGCATTTCATCTGGTTAAGACACCTCACATTTAGACACAATTTCTCTACCTGACGATGAATCCTTTCCTTATCCAGATTGTTGCAGTTCTCTGCCAACAGTCAAAAGCATCAAGACAGATGAAGATAAAGCTGTCTTAAAAAGTCACTTGATAACTGCCTTTCGTAACTTGCACTATAAGGCTGTTTATACATATGAAGTTGAGGAAGCTTGGAAGAGTGAGAAAACAACATAAAGACAAATATAAACAACGGCATACTTTGGTTTGTGGGGTATTTTTTCTGCCCACTTCTGGCATGGAATACCCCTCCAAGTCTTGGCTTCTGTTCCTCTGTAGTCCTTCCCAATCCCTCTTTTACATTCTAGAAGGTAAACTGAAATGGAATTGGCTTTGTTAATTCAATGGTGTTACAACATTGCATGTCTTGAAATTGAAAGTCTGCAGATATAACTGAAGTTCATCAGTTCGCGATGAGCCAATGTTTTGAACCTCTTGTACATGCAAACATATGTGATTCTGTAATGTAATTTAAAACAAATTAGTTACAAACTAAAGAGAAAAATTTCTGAAGCATTTTTACAAAGCTAATAAAATTTAGTGAAGAAAATAGCTGTATCAAATTACAGGTGGTTTTGACATGCAAAAATGCATGTTTTTACTATCATAATACTGGGGTAAATAGGAATGTCTTTCACCAGCAGCTGGAGATTCTTTGAAAGGCATTGTTCACAAACACATTTGCAGTGTGGGTGTCAGGCAACTATTCCTTCAAGAAAGAAAATATTTAGTTATCAAAATACACTTGTCACATAAATGGCCCCCAAACCTTTGATTCCTCTTAGCCTCAGACTCCCAGGTCCTTTCTAGTGGGATTCCAAGACAGAGAGAATGCAAATCATATTGATGATGCTTTTATTGGCAACAGACACTGGAAAATCTCAAGTTATTGAGGGCAGTGATCTTGCTTTCCCCTTCCAGCAATTTGCTTGCACAAGAAGAATCTCCCTAAACCCCAAAATATAAAATGGAAATATTAGAGCAAGGATGAGGTACCAATCTGATAGGAAAAACTGAGCCTTGTTTGAACACCTTGCAATAGTTACTGCAATCACAATGTGTGGCTGGGACTACAAATGTCTGTGCTGCATGTCTTGCCAAAAGGGAGCTTCTGCCTAGTTTGTCAGGGTACTACTGGAGGGACCAAAAGACTAGTCACTGCTACTCCAACACTGATACCCAAGTCTCAGCATGTCCATCTCTGGTCAATAGCCTTGCCCATGGACTTTCTGATGTTGTCAGACTCCTCCTAGATTATTTTAGCTTGTCTAAATAATAAAGCTGGACACATCTGACAGCCAGGGAGAGGAGGTGAAGACTGTATAGCTGGGTCAGGAAGGAAAACAACCAAGTAACTTTCCAGGTCAAATGGCACATTGAGACCACCATGGATTTAGGCCTCAGTACTTGATCCTTCTTGAAGAGCATTTTTAGTGACATAGCTTCTTTCTGTTTGGCCTCCATATTCTCAATTAGTTTTCTGTCCTATACAGGAGTTTGCTTTGCTCGCCTATAACCCCTAATTGTGTTCTTCAAAAGAAGGATGAGATCAAAAGCCAAACTATATGTCCAGACAAAATTAAGGTTTGATTGGGGAAAATGCTCTGCAAAGAATGAGATGTCTCTAACCGAATTCTTCAGAAATGCTTCAGTGACTAAGTGCCAAAACTTTGATTATTACCCCTACAAGAAGGTAAGCATCCCAGATGACCACTCAGCTAGTAAAAATGCCATGGTTCTTAAACTCTCAAGAGGCCAATTGGAACCAAAGGAAAATGCACTTTTGAAGGTGGGAGTGAGAAATCTAACTCAACATAATGTAGTGAATGAGTCCACTTTGTGAATTATTCCAATTATTAGCAAGGAGGTGTTGCCATTAACATATGGAAAGTAACTGGCAGACATATATTCATGGAGTTGCCTTTGTAACTATGGACAATCCAGAGTATGGTCTGCATACAGATCCCAAAGCGTCTGTGGTGGGGTAAAATGGAAGTGCCTAACATTGGGTGGCCTAGTACAAAAAGACAAACTATTACACTCACAAATGGATGAAACTTTTTGTGTCAAAGTAGATGTTTTGCACAGGTATTAATCCAATTCCAAGGAAAATAAATTCTAGCAAAGATTGAGGCCAGAGCAGCTGTTATGAACTCCAAGTTCTGAGTCAGGTATAGGTGAGATTGTACAGTCATTGTGAACCTAAAGGAGTGGCAGAGCCACAAAATTGTCCTGGAGATTGCTTTTCCCCAGCAGACTGAATTCCATTATATCTCAGCAGAGAGGAGTTTTACAGCAGCTATTTCCTGGTGCTGAGGAGTTGTGGTGGGGACAGAAAACTTTTCTGATGTTCAAGGAAACTAAATGTCTTTATTTACAAATTCGAGTTCAGGCTGGGTGATACTGTGGTTACTTGCTTCTAGGAAGGTGAGTCACTCCTAACAGCCTTCTGAGAAGTATCTCTGGTTTGAGGTGGATTTGGGCCATTACAGATACAAAATGCTGCCATTTGGATTATCCAGAGACCTCACAACAATGCTGGCAGCGGTAGCTGTGAGTTTCAGAATGAATGAGACAGTTCTGTATTCCTGCTAGCAAAAAAGAGAAGGAAAATGACTGTACGCTTTTGTACCCCTGCCATAACAGGCACCTACAGGCTGATGAGCTAGTCCCTTGGTGTGAGGAACAAGATACAGTGTCTCCTCCTGGAGTGGACTCATGTGGTGACATTTCCTTTAGTCCTGGATATGGCTAGGAAGGAAAAGCTCTGCTTCCAAGAGGATTAGGAGAGAGGGGGACAGACCTGTACCTCACCCTACAGATTCAGCTAAGGGTAAAAAGTAAACAAGACAAATCCATCCTGACACATGAGAGGGCGCCAAGCTAGGATTTTTTTTTTCTGCAGGAAGAGGTGGCTCCAATGGGGCTATGAGCAGCAAAGCTGAAGGTTCTGACTAAATTTCTAGATTACATGTGTTGAGGAAGGTCACTGGGATGAACATTGAGGCTGGAGACACCAGGCCTGTCTTCCATGGAATAATTTTGGAGGAGGTGAAAATTTGCATGACCCACCTCACCGAAACTGTCACCACCTGCAGCGGTTTGCTCCAGCACTGCAGCAGAGAGCACAAGGATGAAGTTAAAATAGGCTTAATGAGTAGCATCTTGCTGTATACATACTTCTCTTTTCATAAAGAACTGCATCCATGCTGGCGAACATCACCGACATTTTAGCATTTTCAGCCAGTGTTAAACACTGTAGCTTTTTCCTGGTGAATAGGAAAGCCCTGTTGAAATTGAGAAGGAAGCAATATTGACATAGGAAGCAATATTTTAAATTCAATACAAATTATTCAACTAATAATTATTGTTCTATACATTTTTAATTTAATAGGACTGTCCTGTATCCATTTCTATCTTTCAGATACTGCACTCAATATCTGAGACACTGAGTTAGAGTCTGGCTTTTTTTATTGCTCTGAAGTGGCTCATTTATTCAGGACATAAGACTATAGATGAATAAGTTATTGTGTGGGAAGCTAGTTACTGCATTGGCAAAACATTATCAACAGTATTCTAGCTGCTCAGGTTAGTATCTTTCCCTACAACGGATTAGAAACATTTCATTCTTCTTTTGTGAAAGAAGCCAGCATCTAGCAAAAGAGGCACAAGTAGCTCTCCATATAATGAATAAGAGTGGGAACTTGAACATTTACTATAGAATGAGAAATACATTGTCAATCCACTCTTTACTTGATCTTGTGGTAATTTATGGGTGAAGATAAGCCACAAACTAAAGGTACAGGCTGTAGGCAGAGCTGCAGCAGAATGGGGATGTTGGTTCTGAGCAATTGTAGGAAAATACCATTGATATGCAGACATCCACAATGACACAGTTTTAAGATTCAACAGGAATTACCTGCAATTAAAATTTCTTTCTGCTTCACATTTCTCTGCACATTCTTTTTCGTTATTTGTCTTGTAAGACTGTTTATTTCGAGTTAGTATCCAAACACCATCTGTTCTTATATAGTCACCCAGTATATCTCCTTTCACTAAAAGGGAAGGAAAGGAATCAGACGTTAAAAATGAAAATTCTGCAGTTAAGAAGATCTGTGAATTTGAGTCCCATTTTCTGTGTAGCTTGGACAGGTGAAGACACTATTTATGCTGTGTAATTCTAGGTAAAAGATTGTAAATTCTAATGTAATTTCTGTCTCCCGACACAATCACAGCTGTATGACTGTAACATGCCATAGGAAAAAAAAACAGCAGAAAAAACATGTAGAGAAGCAGTTCTGAATGGAGTTATGCATGAGTTTGAAGCTAAGAACAAGAAATGTGAAGTAAGAGTGAGGGGGAAACAAAGAGAGAGAAACTAAGTGGTGTCAACACCAGTCAGAGAAAGAGGAAGTGATACCAATATCAAAATTTTGAAAAAGAATGAATTAGCTGGATGTGATATTATGTGATTGTGCACTCACTGCAGTTTTATTGGTCACTAACTAGTTGTTTGTCCCAAGATGTCTTGCTCTAGATCAAGAAACCACAGTTATAAAATTACTAAATAGCATTTTACAATGGCCACCATTATTTTATTGTAATGGGTTGAGCAGACTTAGTAATGAAATTGTCAGGCTGCATCTCTGTTGCAACAAATTAACCCAAGATTTTAAATTAGTAAATGATTAGTATTATTATATCTGAAAGCTACATGTGCATAAGATGTATATGAGGTATCTGCCAATACATTTAACACAGCTCTAAAACATTGTTGCTCACAATGGATTTTGTCAACTAACTGATTTTTTTTCCTTCTATGTCTATAAAGAATTTATGTTCTGTTCCTAATTTCTATGAGAGTTTATTTCCACCTCCAGCATCAGGTTACAAGGTTACACAAGTGATATGGTTCAATTATTTCATTTTTTCAAGCTAGATTATTATTGATAGATACAGGAAGTTCATAATTTTGTACAGTATTCTCACAGGTAATGTTGCAAATCTTTCATTTTTCCACTCATATTAGGCTCAATTCACTGCAGCATCACTGCAGTGTAATTAATTCCCACAACATATAGGTCATCCATCACCTACCTCCATATGATACATATTCGTATGAAATAAAAGGTATTTGGGCCACTAATGAAAGTAAGATGATTAATTGCCTGAGGGCATCTTCTGTGCCTGTTTGCAGAGTTGGCTCAATGCTATAAAAACCACGTGTCTTAAGAAATCCCTGACACTGAGGCCTCCCATATCTAATCCCACTGTTACAGCTGGACTATGTGGAGCACCAATAGCCCAGCCTACTAAAAATTTCTCCTGACAGATTCAGTAAGCAACTGCTTCCTCTCCTGAATTTTTTTCATAACTTAACTAAGGCCAGTGCTCCAGAATTGCAGGAGACTAGAACAGGAAAATACTGCTTTCCAAACTTAATTGACACATCTTAAAAGATAATTCAGATTGGCAGAAGCTTAGATAACAAAAAAAGAAAAGGTGAAAAGGTGATGCTAGTTGCCTGAAAAACATTGCAAAATGAAAAATTAAGAAAAGAATACAACAGACTTAAAAATGCATCAGGGAATGTATTAGTCTGACTAAAGTCCAAACCTTTATAAACCCAGACATGGCACATGATAATTGAACAGAGTATTCAAATATATGTGAACAAACCTATTTTTTCTTTTATATATGTATCTTTCCAGACCTGACCAGTACTGATCCAGAAGACATAAAAATTGGTTTTAAGGCAGTCGTGTACTATCACTTTGGAGCAAGTCAGCTAAAGCTGATAACAATGAGCAAACAAAAAATCTCGCTTAATCAGTTGTCTTTTACAACCCAGTGATATGTTCCTGTTATTCTGACCTTAAATGTCTGAGCTATTAGAAACTCATACAAACTGTACTGATATATATTTTACAGTACTTTTTAAAAGTCATTTAAATGCCATAGAATTATATGCAATTTTAAAGTACTAGAGAGTATAGTATCTGATTAAAATCTGATTGAAATGTAAACTACATGTGGAATAATAATTTACAATATTTGTAGATAAGCTTGAAAATCATATATTACCATTAGTGGACACCTATCTTCTTTTGGTGTTGTAATAAAGAATTCTAGACATATTTTTAGAAAAGTTGATCTAGGTTACTGAAGAGAAAGTTCCTAACTACTGCCTTCAGCAAAACAAGGGAGAACATTTTATTAGAAGTGTTTGAAAAATTTGAAATTTCTGGAATATAAAGGAACTTGGTAATTTTTCCTTTTTTTTTAATATTTCATTTCAAAGCTTTAAAACTCCTATCATAAAGGGTGAAAACCACAATCACAGTGCTTAGCAATGCTTGGTAGTAAAACCAGTTTTAGCTTTAGCATTTGATCCAAAACCTGCTGAAATTAGGGATAACCTTCTCAGTGACTGCTGTGGGTTTTGTAGAAGCCTTTGACAGGTTGCTTCCCAAGGGTGCCTCCATCTCTGGCCATGGGGTAGTTTTGCAGGGAGCCACTAGTTCCCAATGGAGACACCAAGGCTGCTGCTCTTCTGGTGGCTCTAACAAATACAACCCGGGAACAACCACAGCTCTCATTCTACTGAGCAGCAGTTTTTGCTGGCCAGCAAGCCCTGAATCTGTCATCATCCAGGGAAGTTGTGATGCAGGGATTTGGGGACCTACCTTCACCACATGGAACTTGCAAATGTTTAGGTCTCACCTAGGCAAGGAGAAGGCAAAGGACTCTTACCTGAGCTGAGCAAGAACAGAAAGAGAAAGGCAGCTTTGCTAATCCTCATTTTGGCCCCGCTGGCGGGTGCTGGAAGTTGTGTGTGTCAGTGCACAAAGTTTTATTGACTTGCACTGAAGTGAGGCAGCATCAAATAAACAAGGCAGGAGGATTAAGTTAATCATTTTCCCGTACTGCTTCCCCCTTGCCATGATGTGGCCATTCAAACAACCTTGAATTGGATGGATTACCAAATCAGATTCAATCATTTCTACTGGATGCTGGGAAATGTGAAGGTACTTTCCTGTTTTGTGGGACATGCTTTTGTTCTCAGATTGCTTGGCCTCACTTTGCTAAGGTAAACAGGGGAATCACAGCAGTGGAAAGTATGGGGACTCAGTCAAAACCTAATTCTATGTAGTCCTGGATATTCGGTTTTAGGTTCCAAAAGTATTTTCAATCACAGACCTGCACTGCTTAGGTTGGAACTGCATCTGATTTATGCTTTTGTGTAAATCAGTCCCCCCAAAACTGATTCTAATAATGCTAACTCTGTATCAGAATTGTTTTTAACAACCTCCAATGCCATTTCCGGAGGAAAGATTACTTCCATCAGCTTTTTCCCATTTCTGGTTTAGTTTTTGTTGTCCATGACTTAGGAGGCAGCATTCACTTTTTTCAGTGTATGATGCACTTTTGCTTTCCAGGCAAAGTCACTAATATCTCAGGTCTGCCCAGACCTCAGGGTATATGCAGAATGCCCCATGCATTTCAGCAATACAACCTCTGCTGGCCCCAGGGGGCTCAGCTAAGGCAAGCCATGCATTCCCAGCCATAAAGTGCCTTCAGGAGCTTCAACTGGCCAGTCAGTGTAGCTTTCAACTGGAAGACAGATGAGAATGACAGTTAGGAAGAAGGTGGTAGTCTCACATATTCTCCTCTGTGCTGGGAGAATGGTGGTCTGGAAAGGCCATGTAAAATAGCCACATCCCTGTGAGCATTGATGACTAGACAAGTAATCTGGGGTAAAAGGAGTGGTCAAAAGGTACATGCCTCCAGGGCACACGTGAGAAATGAACCCTGGGCTGGTGAGGAGATAGTGGGGAAGTGGCCTTTTTGCCTCAGCTCTGAGACACTGCAGAGGGCTCTCAATAGGTAGCCATTTTGTAACCTGTAGTCAGAAAAGGCAAAAGGAGGAACACCCGTAGGAAAACAAGTATTTGGTCTTGGTAACTTTTGTGTTGTGTCTATGTGCCAACACAACAACAGCTCATCCATATCCTTACCTCCACAGTCATTCTTTGAGCATATCATTCAACCTTTACCATATCTGGCATAACTCAGGTGTTCATACAAGGCTTCAGAAAATCAGTACTTGGACAGAAAAAAAAAACAAAATTTGCTTTCCATAAGAACACTTAATGGTGGGAGCAAACACCACTCACTTCTGCTTGGCCAGTCAGCAGGTCTGTACCCTCCAACCAGCATGTCAGAACATGCATAGGTGAATCCTGGGGATATCCACCTTGTACGCCTGGCTATGGAAGAGACAGGCTCTCCTAATGGAAGGCAGGAGTACCTCACAGAGACATTAAGGGGATGTGAATGAGAAGAAGCAGGACTAGAGGACCATTTGGGAGTGAGCAGGGCATGCAGGATCTGAAGATTTCCCAACTTAATATAGGAGAGATGTGGGGTCACCAAGAGATGCAGGAGGACATGATGACCAGGGATATGAACTGCACGGAGCCAAGTCTCTCTTTTTCTGTCACCAACAGTGTTACTTGCTCTGTCCTCAGGTAGCAAATGCCATAGATTGTAGATGCAGAAGTCTGAAACTACTCTAGATCTGACAGTAAATAGCATGGCAAGCCTTTTCTGTTGGATTTAATTCAAATCTTAGAACAATCAAAATCAGAGATATTTTATGCCAATTTTCCATTAGCAATAAATGAAATCACATCTTTGCTCATGAAAACTATGCCTACCTGATGTTCTATGTGGTTTTCTGGAGAATATGCTGTCCTGGTAATGTCCAGAAGGGTGCAGCACATGATAGTTTTTTTAAAAAGTGGGTGACATTAAACCCCCAGCACAAGCAAAGATGTCAGTACACACTCTGGATACATTGTCAGGCAATGTTTGTCCACAAGCTTGCTCATATCACAGTACTAACTTACAAGGAAATTTGTTTTATTCAAATATGCTTTGATTTTCTTTCTCAGATTCCCCTTTTCCTTCCTACCTCAATACAAGATGTTTAAAGTTTATTGGTTTGAACTCGTGTAATGTTAATAGGTTCAAAAGTTTTATTTTCCCAAAGCAATACTCTATGTAGAAAAGACTGCATGCAAGTGTGGAATGAGAAAGAGTGAGGGGGGAAAAGCCAAATGTAGTATTATCACTATAAGATACTGGGAAACATAAATAAAAATAGGGGCATGTCTTTGGAGGAAAACACTCTACAAATTTTGTGAGAAATTAGCACAGATTTCATCAAAATTAGAAAAATCAGAAGGAGAAGAAATTATTCCCTTGAAAAGGAAAATAAATATGGATAAACAAATAAGTGAGAGGTAAGTTCAAAATAATGTTCTTAATTTGAAAAAAACAGATACAGAGCTGCGCAGTAATGAAAACAAAAAAAAAGTATTTGAATCTCAAGTGTCAAATTATAAAATACTTTCATTATGTTTTCAGCTTGGAGAAGGAGAGATTTGTACATGCTTGCTCATTCTACACTTTTGCTAGGGAACATCATGCAGCTCTGCTGCACTGGCTTGGAGTGTGTGTTTTCTTTAAGTGTTGAACTTCTGAAGACTTGTCAGTTATTCACAGAGATACTTCAAGCCACTGATTCAGTACATTCTGTCAGTGGCTTTGCCAATCTGTTTTGCCCTGGGAATGAGGATAGATTGAAGGAACATAGACACCAACTTTAAAGAATAAGTGTGTAAGTTCACTATAGTGTAAAACAGTAAAGAATTACAAAAGAAGCAGTGGCTTATGAAAGGATACACTTAGCAATGCATCTAATCATTACTACAAAGACTATCTTAAAGTGATTAAGATAGAGATACATCATCAGTTACCCTAAGTAATCCATTACCATCATGCAGACTGCACTTCAGCTGGAGAGGCCCCTATCACAGTGAAGGATTGGAGAACCTCTTCCCAGTAACTGGAAAATCCTACACAGTGCGTCCACTTGTAGGGTGAAGCTTCCATCTTTGCTGTGAGAGGGTTCAGTTTATACAGTGTTAAACAAACCAGCTTACATCACTCGATGGGTGTGGAAAAACAATCTGGCTTTCTTCTCTCCTTGGTTTTCCCCTGCAGCCTGGCCAGGGCCAGGGGAAAATCAGGAATCAGTTTGGATCAACTACTGTCAAATGCCCTCATGGCTTTGACTAGTCTCTAAATATAGAACTATGGATTCATTTGTATCTCAAAGATGAACTAGCTGTGGCTGTATGAGGCCTACTGCTCTCATGGCCTTGGCTGAAAAGAAAGACATATTTATAACACATACAAGCCTTATTAATTATTAATAATATGCTGGGCTAACAAGCATAAATGTGTACTCTTAAAGTATTAGTAAGGCTAATACAGCATCTTGGTTAATAAGTAGATATACGGCTAAATACAATACTAGGCTAAATATAATATTAGGTTGAAAGATTCATCTATAGGTCAACTTTAGCCCAGGGTCTGTTCTTCAGGCCCCAGCATCACAAATATAAATATTTCTGATTACTTCAGAGGGCTTTTAAACAGGCCTTGAAAAATTTTTAATTGCCCTCTACTTGGCACTGATGAGGTCACACCTGCAATACTGTGTTTGGTTCTGGGGCCTGTACTACAAGGAAGACATTGAGGTGCTGGAGTGTGTCCAGAGAAGGGCAATGGAGCTGGTAAAGGGTCCAGAGTACAGGTCTTATGAGGAGCAGCTGAGGGAGCTGGGGTTTCTCAGCTTGGAGAGAGGGGGGCTCAGGGAAGACCTGAAATTTTATTTGGGGAGGTTGTGGGATCTTCACGACTAGAAGTTTCAGGAACAGGTTTGATAAATATCTGACAGACATTTTGGATCTGAACATGTTCTTACGCCATGATGGTTGAACTGATAATCCTTTTTGTTGTCTTTTTCTTCTAATTCTGTGAATTAGATTTGTGACACCTAAACAATTCCTTAAAACAGATGTAGTGCAACTCTTCATAACCAATGGGAATAATCCTCCTTTTTCTGTAGGATGGCTTTTGCACCTTCTGCCTTCCTTCTCCACTGATATACTTCTCACAGTTTGTAGACATGAAAAGAGGAAATATTGCGTTTCCAGTACTCCAGATTATTCATTTCAGAGTTGGATTCAATGATCCTTGTGTGTCCCTTACAACTCAGAATACTCTGTGATTCTGTGGTTCTTGAAATACTTACATTCCCACAGCACTATGCCCATTACTCATCTTGGTTATATCTACATGCCCTCTTTGGCTGGCAGGCTGCAATTCAGTGCTGTGGGCCATCTCTTAGAGCACTTCGGTTTCCTTTGGGAAGAATACAGTGCACTGAATCCTTGCCCCAGGAAGACTGACTGTTCAGAATAACTCTCTTCAAAGAAAGAAGGAAATTCTCTTTCAAATCACTCTGGGAACACACAGAAATCTCCTTTCTGAAAACGTCTTCAGTAGGAGCCTAGAAGCAACATCATTTCATGCAAATGACAGCTTCCCCTGCCCCCAGTTCATTTGCCCCTGCTTTTCACAACATAATTGCAACTTCTGGAGTTGCCTCACCTTGACAGTTCAGTTTTTTTCAGCTGGAGTGCCCCCCAGCTATGATGAGAAATGCAAGTCAGACTTGTTTAGGCCTGATCCCTAGCCTCTGCCAGTTCCGAAGCTGATGAAGGAGAGTTTCTGTCCTGCTGGCATCCACAAAACTGGGCTCTGGCTCCCACCCAGCAGCTGGTCTCCTGCCTCAGGTTCTCAAGCACCCAGCTTTGCAGCACCAGCACCACAGGCATTACCAGCATTCTCCCAGAACTGTTGAAAGCTCCTTACTTGGAATAGCCCGTTAATGGATTATCAGATAATAAAATGCTCAGAAAAACATCTTGACTTAAATGACTTTGATAAATA